TCGTTGCACTCTGCTCTTTTGTTGAGAGCAGTGGAGGAAACCCCTCTTCCTAAAGAGGGAACGGCGTGGGGCTTCCAAGTGCTCCCTCTGTCACTTGAACATGCTCCGGTACCTGAGGTTCAGAGACGTTCTGATGCAAAGATACCCATTTGACTTCGTTGACCTGGCATTCCCCAAACATTTAACATAGACGCTTGCAATTTTGACTGGCAGGCCCTCTCAGCCATTCCACCCCCACCCCCACCCCCCACGGAGAGGGCTGATGTGTTCTGAAGCCTCCAGGTTGCCTGGTGTTGTGCTGCAGTGGAGCATCATTAGAATCTAGGGTCAAGTGTGCAGCTCTGTTCTGCTGAGCTCTGTCGGTACTCCCAAGGCGTGCTGACTGCTGATGTAGACCGCAGAGCACATGGTAAGAGGTGATCCCTCTGAATACTCAGGGGACAATGGACAGTTCCCCCAAGGGAACATTCCCAGTCTCTCAGGATAGCTCAGTTGTCTATCTGCTGGCCTGGTTTTCTAGGTTAGAAGAGACTCAGGAGGTCATCTGTTTCAGTCCCTCTTGTTTATTAGGTGTCTGACTCTCTGTCGGGTAAAGGACCAGCTCTTGCTTGCATTTCTTCCAAAGCAGTTTGTTCCATCTTTGTTTCTTGGTCTCCAGAGTGTTCCACCCACTCTGAGGCTTCCCAGGAGCTTTCCGTCCTGCCTTTGTCCCAAGGATCCTGCAGCCTTCCTCTATCTAGGGTTGGCATCTTGAAGATCTGAACTTGTGTTCTTCCTTGGCCTTGCTTCTTTCTAGGGTTGCCTAAGGCTACCAGGGTGAGGCCTCAGTTGAGTTCTTCTTTGTGGATTATGCAGTACCCAAGCAAGTCCCACCCAGAGAGGGAGACACTAAGGACACAGTGACAGGCCTGTTGGATCTCTCTTCCAGCTTTCTCTTCCAAGTCTCACTGTGCAGACCTATCTCTGGACAGTCCCCAGACCTCAGACTTGACACCCATTCATTCGTTAATCCATCCACCCATTCATTCGAGGAAACACTAGTGGCTCCACTGCGAGCCTAGATTGAGCATGGGGTAGGAGTGTGAAGGCTATAGGACTTGTCTTCATCAAGGTCTAAGAGAAGCAGCTAAGCTAACCATTAACCATCACTGGGGGTAGTGCAGCATGGAGAGACCAGCAAACCTTGGAAGAGAGGGAGGGGAGAATAGAGCGGGAAGTCTAAGATGGGCCCTGGAGGATGCTAGCCAAACAGGAAGGTGGAAGGCCATCGGGGAAAGACTGGTGTGTAGTGTTGGATCCTCACAAGAAGAGCTGGAGTCATTCTTGTCAGAGAAATGCCTGACGCCTAAGGAGTCATGGGACAGATTAGGGATGCTTTGGATCCTTATGTCCAGATTCCATGCTCTGTCTCCCCATCAGAGGACAGTGTGTGCAGATCACAGCCCAGTGTGTGCAGATCACAGCCCAACTGCTCAGGCCAGGAGCAGGTACATTAGTGAGACCAATGGCTGGGTAGACCATGGGCCTGCTTGCTCTGTCCCTTTCCAGGCTTTCTGGCAGGTAGCTTGGGCCTTCTACCCAGGATCCTCCCTGGGCTGCTATCCCATGCTGTCCCTATACTTAAGAATCACTTTCTGCCTTTTTCTTTCATCCCTCCTATCTTTAGTCCAGGCTCCATCCCATTCCCCATCTCTTGTCCCTGACTGAGCTTTTCAATTCTCCTGAGGTTCCTTTTCCACACCAACCCTTGGCTGACTCAAATCCCATCATGTCTGACCCAGCTCCCCGCACTCCATCCCAGCAGCTCTGCCATCCCATCTCCTGCTCCTGACAGATTTCTCCAGAGTTGCCGCTTGATGAATGACTTCCAGTCTACCCCAGTTCTACATAACCTCAGCTTCTATCATGACCAGGCTGAGAAGGGTGGCCCGGTTCCTTGTGCGGAAGCAGTGGTAGAATGTTCACCCAGGGGGGCATTTGGGAGGGAGCATACAGAAGACGTGGTGCAATTTAGGGCAGTCACTTCCATTTTAATTTAATAGTAGAAGGAAATACATAGCATGTCTAATGTGCTATCGTGAGGGTTATTGCTCGGAGCACAGCCCAAGTGTGGAGTCCTTGCCCAGCATATGTGATGCTCTAGGTTTGAACTCAGCACACACACACACACACACACACACACACACACACACACACAGAGAGAGAGAGAGAGAGAGAGAGAGAGAGAGAGAGAGAGAGAGAGAGAGACAAGACAGACAGACACAGACACAGACACAGACAGACACAGAGACAGCGACAGAGACACAGACACAGAGAGAGACGGAGAGACAGAGAAAGCAGAGAGAGAGAGAGGAGGAAGAGAGAAAAGAGAGGGAGGAGAGAGGGATCAACTGTTGCTTTTTACTCTTCTGCACTTTGGGGCTCACCACCCAGCTCCCAAATAAATCACACAGAGGCTTATTCTTACTTATGAATGACCAGCCTTATCTTGGCTTGTTTCTAGACAGCCTTTCTTAACTTAAATTATCTTGTCTACCTATACCTCTGGGATTTTATCTCTCTCTATTTCTGTATACCTTTCTTTACTTCTTACTCCATGGCTGCTGTGTAGC